ACAACATAGCTTTTAAATAATAATATGACAACCAATTTATATATTTTCATTTTTATATTTATCATAAACAGGACAGAACGTAAACAGAAGATCATAGGGACAACGTTTGCCTCATTTAGAAATAGACGAACGATACTTTTGTTTTCTTAATTGAATTTTTTTGCAGATGATATTTTTTTTACAAATCATCCAAGATTCAATTGTTTTATTATCTTTGCAAAATCGTAGTCGAAATATTACATTGATCACTTGATGTTCCTTTTCTTCTTGAAGAAATTCATGATAATCTTCGGCAAGCTCTTCTGTCAATTATAGTAGAAATTGCTGTTTTGATATATTTTGTCCACTTGTTCCCTTATAAAGGATCCATGCCGATTGATACCAGTCAAATCAAAGATGTCGAAAAAAACTTGCACAGGCTATTGACGCTGTACTTTCTCGCCGTTTGATCGGTTACATCGAACACTGAATTTGGTTTTATTATAATACGCAACTGTCTCAAGTACTCGTTTATTGATTTTTACACATTTATGCTTCGAACTTTTTTGCTTGGTTTGGATTTATAAATTGTTAGAGTACAATTATTTGATTCAAAAATTACTGTCGAGAAACGTTTCATTTTGTCTTTTGGGCAATTCTCTTCTGTTAGTATTCCGAATAATACTCCAACTAATGTTGTTTATATAAACTAAACTATGTATAAAACTAGACACATATCGCATTCAGATATCCAACTGTGCATAGTTGGCGTACTTGAGTCCAGAGCTAAGATCTCAGGCAGAGAAATTTAGAGAAAGATATAAATTTGCCCACCGGTCACGGTGAACAAATCAGGCGATGAATTTTTCTCAGCAAAAAAAAAAAAAAAACAAAAATTGAGAAATTGATTAATCGGATAATCCAAGAATTTACATAAAAGTTGGATGAACAAGAGAAGTAACAATAAGTGTGCAATTTTTAATTAGTCTTGGTACGGTTACACATTGTTGACCGGTAATTTTACCTAGAAATTATGTCTCGTGTCACCGGCTATTATTTCGTAATTGAGTGGAACAGTCTACATAAACTTCAATATACTTTATTTATACAGAATGAATTTGAAGAAACCTCTGCATATCTCTTATATATATTATATTTTATACATGTAATATATTTTAGTAATGTTTTTCGGTCTGACAAATTGTATAGCAATCACCTACACAACAGGTTTCGCAAATATATCTAACGATATCAACTATCAATTTACAACAAAATCACTCGGACAATCAGATAAAGCATCAGCAATAAAAGTTAACACTAAGATTGCGATAAAAACCTAAATATCAATAAAAGTAATTTTTTTTTTATATATATAATAAAGTGAACACGATTGAATACGACGATTTCACAATATCCTGAGTATCAAGAATTAAAATAGTTAATGCAAATGCAAACGCGAGTTAACTCGTGACCGGTCAACAACGTGTTAATCTGTTATTATAGTGCATCTACATTATATCGCTAGAGCAACGATTATAATCGTCGTATGTAAAATTGAATTAAATTATAAGAAAATGGCAGTATCGGTAATTTCGACTACGTTCAACTTAATTACTCGCGAAACGTCAACGTTCGTAATTCACTTGTTAAACTAAAAAGTCAACGTAAACCTCTTAGCTGTGATGCCGCTTTTGCAAAAGTGTGTGTCTACGTTGTATCGTTAGAGCCATGATTATACTCGTCAAACACAGAGTATGTACAGCTGCCGTCTGGTAACATTGAATTAAATTGTAAGGAAACGACACTAGTTCTTCTCCATTGAAAAGTCAATAATTTCAACTTAATCAACATTATTTGCAAAACTTAAACATCCGTAATTCCCTTGTTAAACTAAAAAGATCAAACATTTGGATGGAGTAAGAAGAAATTGGAAATTTAATTTATTCTTTCAGAATGATATTTCTCAAAGCACGTTCGTCACCAATATCTAGGTTGTTTTCGTATGTTGTTTCTCAAAAATGTTCTCCGACGAAACGTGTACGCTTCGTTGCAGATTGCCGACCAAAATTATATCTTCAATACGCTTCAGCAGGAAGTATACACTATTGTCAATTCTTCATTATTCTTTTTATATAATTGAAAGATAAATTTCAAACGAATAACGTCTAAAGGATGATTTTCCCAGCACAGAGATGATCTGTCCAGACTGACTTTCACACAATGCAACAAGTCTGAAGAGAAATCGCGCACGAGCGATCATGGGAAGAAAATACTTAGAACAAGTCTAGTCTCGAAAATTTACTGAAAGATTTAATTTAAGTAACAAATTCTGATTATTACTGTACTCGTTATTCACAGTTAAGAGGTTAAAAAAAAAAAAAAAAACAGTGAGTTTCCAAATGACAAAGACTACAAGTTGGACGAAAAAATTTCCCGGGGAAATTCTGTCGAGCCGAGGGTCTCGAACGCATGGGAATGAGTACCGGAAACGGGGGGATCGAAACGGAGTGTAGAGTGTCCGGATGAAAAGTTGGCGGCGCGCGAGGAGACAGATGCTCTGGGAGAAAAAAGATAGATCGGGCAGAGGAGAAGCGGGTTTATTTTAAATCGGTAGTTAGAGCTGTTGCAGGCCTCCCCGGAGATGATGATGCGAGAGCGAAGGAGGCGTAATTGATTGTACGATCCTCCGGGAGACAGGCGTTAACGGATGACTCTCACTAACGAGCATTCCTACTTCCCTACCCCTTTCTTCCTCTTTCTCGCCCCCTACCGTAACAGTGGCTTCGCCCTCTTTCGCCCTGTTTTCACCACCCTCTGACCCGACTTCGGACCAATTTCGCTCCTATGACTTGCACACCCTTCTTGCTTCTCTCGGCTTCGCGCCGCCCCTTGAATTTGCGTTTCCGACCAATCTGCGTGTTTCCTCCTCTCACCGTGCTCTACTACATACCGTGCTCGAAATTCTTTCCCCGGGATGATAAATTTGTTCAACGTAATCCAATAAGCGTTCGCGAAACGTGTCGGATGCGAATCGGCGTGTAACTACTTGCAGTCGCCTAAATGTATTTTTGCGTTGATCCTTGAATTTCCCACCCGGCGCACATGCTACATCCTACATACATACA